GTCGAGCAGTACCTCAGGGTCGTCCACCACGGATTCGAGCACCGCGTCGCGGACCAGCACTACGGAAACTAGCAGCACCACGGTATCTACCATCAGTGAATCGAGCACCACGTCCCAGACCAGCAGTACAGAATCGAGCAGTTTCACAAGGTCGACCACAACGGTGTCGAGCACGACGTCCCGGACCAGCACTACGGTCACGAGCAGTACCACGTGGTCCACCACTACGGAGTCGAGCACCACGTCGGTGACGAGCACTACGGTCACGAGCAGTACCACGTGGTCCACCACTACGGAGTCGAGCACCACGTCGGTGACGAGCACTACGGAAACGAGCAGCACCACGATGTCGACCACGACGGAGTCCAGCACCATCTCGCAGACAAGCCGTACGGAATCCAGCAGTTCCACCGCTTCCACTACAACGAGATCTGTGAGCACGTCGCGAACAAGCAGTACGGAAACGAGCAGTACCACATGGTCGACCACGACAGAATCCAGCACCACGTCTCGGACCAGCACTACGGGAACGAGCACTACCACGGGTTCCACCGTCACGGAGTCGAGCACCACGTCCTGGACAAGCACTACGGAAACGAGCAGTACCACGTGGTCCACTTCCACGGAGTCGAGCAGTACCTCAGGGTCGTCCACCACGGATTCGAGCACCGCGTCGCGGACCAGCACTACGGAAACTAGCAGCACCACGGTATCTACCATCAGTGAATCGAGCACCACGTCCCAGACCAGCAGTACAGAATCGAGCAGTTTCACAAGGTCGACCACAACGGTGTCGAGCACGACGTCCCGGACCAGCACTACGGTCACGAGCAGTACCACGTGGTCCACCACTACGGAGTCGAGCACCACGTCGTGGACGACCACTACGGAAACAAGCAGTACCACGATGTCGACCACGACGGAGTCCAGCACCATCTCGCAGACCAGCAGTACGGAGTCCAGCAGTTCCACCGCTTCCACTACAACGAGATCTGTGAGCACGTCGCGAACAAGCAGTACAGAAACGAGCAGTACCACATGGTCGACCACGACAGAATCCAGCACCGCGTCTCGGACCAGCACTACGGGAACGAGCACTACCACGTGGTCCACCATTACGGAGTCGAGCACCACGTCCTGGACAAGCACTACGGCAACGAGCAGTACCACGGGGTCCACTTCCACGGAGTCGAGCAGTACCTCGGGGTCGTCCACCACGGATTCGAGCACCACGTCGCGGACCAGCATTACGGAAACTAGCAGCACCACGGTATCTACCATCAGTGAATCGAGCACCACGTCCCAGACCAGCAGTACAGAATCGAGCAGTTTCACAAGGTCGACCACAACGGTGTCGAGCACGACGTCCCGGACCAGCACTACGGTCACGAGCAGTACCACGTGGTCCACCACTACGGAGTCGAGCACCATGTCGTGGACGAGCACTACGGAAACGAGCAGTACCACGATGTCGACCACGACGGAGTCCAGCACCATCTCGCAGACCAGCAGTACGGAGTCCAGCAGTTCCACCGCTTCCACTACAACGAGATCTGTGAGCACGTCGCGAACAAGCAGTACGGAAACGAGCAGTACCACATGGTCGACCACGACGGAATCCAGCACCACGTCTCGGACCAGCATTACGGGAACGAGCACTACCACGGCTTCCACCATAACGGAGTCGAGCACCACGTCCTGGACAAGCACTACGGCAACGAGCAGTACCACGGGGTCCACTTCCACGGAGTCGAGCAGTACCTCGGGGTCGTCCACCACGGATTCGAGCACCACGTCGCGGACCAGCATTACGGAAACTAGCAGCACCACGGTATCTACCATCAGTGAATCGAGCACCACGTCCCAGACCAGCAGTACAGAATCGAGCAGTATCACAGGGTCGACCACAACGGTGTCGAGCACGACGTCCCGGACCAGCACTACGGTCACGAGCAGTACCACGTGGTCCACCACTACGGAGTCGAGTACCATGTCACGGACGAGCACTACGGAAACGAGCAGTTACACGGGGTCCACCACAACCGAAACGAGCAGCACCACGGCATCCACCACTACGGCGTCCAGCTCCACGTCGTGGAGCAGCACAACGGCATCGAGCAGTACTACGGTATCCACCACCAGTCAATCGAGCACGACGTCCCGAACCAGTGTCACGGAAACGAGCAGTACCACGGGGTCTACCACAACGGAGTCGAGCACCACGTCGCGGACCAGCAGTACGGAAACGAGCAGCACGACGATGTCCAAGACTACGGAGTCTACCACCACATCCCAGACCAGCACCACGGAATCGAGCACCTTCACCGTGTCCAGCACAACGGAATCTAGCACCACGTCGCGAACCAGCACTTCGGGAACGAGCAGCACCACGGGTTCCACCATTACGGAGTCGAGCACCACGTCGCGAACCAGCGTTACAGACTCGAGCATTACCACGAGTTCTTTCACCACGGAGTCTAGCACCACGTCGCGGACCAGCAGTACAGAAACAAGTAGTGCTACGGCGTCTACCACTACGGAGTCGAGCACGACGTCCCAGACCAGCATTACGGAGTCGTCCAGCTCAACCGAGACGGCTTCCAGTTTGACCCACTCCAGTACGGTGACAATATCCAGCTGGACAGAGACGCTCAGCTCCACTGTAACAGGCACGAGTGGGAGTGCCACGGTCACTGGAACGACTACGAGCCTGACTGGAACAAGTACCGTTACAACCTCATCTGTGACCTCGACTGCCACGGGGACATCTACGAGTCTGACACGGACAAGCAGCGCGACAAGTGCATCTGGGACTTCGAGTAGCACGCTGACAGAGTCGAGTGCGACCGAGACGAGCAGCACAACCGCGACACGAACGAGTTCCAGCAGCACGAGATCCAGCTCGACTTCCACGACGCTGAGCGAGACGAGCGAGACTGTGAGTTCCACAAGCTTCACGACGCCGTCGACCACGGAGTCCAGCAGCAGCACGACGGACACAGGCACAACCGTGACAGGCACCAGCACTGTTTCGGCGACGAGCACGAGCGAGAGCAGCAGCACCACGACTACCACAGGGACCTCCACGGCGTCAAGCAGCACCACGATGTCCAGCAGCAGCGAGACCAGCAGCAGCACGACGGGCACGAGCACCCTCTCGGCGACGAGCACGAGCGAAAGCAGTACCACCGCGAGTAGCACCAGCACCACCACGCCGTCGAGCAGCACCACGATGTCCAGCGGCAGCGAGACCAGAAGCAGCACGGTTACATCCACGAGCGTAAGCAGTACCACCGCGAGCAGCATCAGCACCACCACGGCGTCAAGTAGCACCACGATGTCCAGCAGCAGCGAGACCCTCAGCAGCACAACGGGCACAAGCACCCCATCAGCGACGAGCACGAGCGAAACCAGCAGCCTTACAGCTACAAGCACAAGCACAAGCTCGACTGCGACTGACACCAGCTCGAGTGGCACGAGCAGCACGACTGCGACGTTCAGCGCGACCAGCAGCATCACGCTCACGGAGTCGAGCAGCACCACGCCCCACACGACCACCGCAAGCAGCACCTCGGCGAGCAGCCTCTCGGCAACCCCCACTTCGGGGACAGAAACCATCACAAGCACCGGGACCACCACCAGCTTTTCGGCGACCAGCACTGGCACAGCCACCAGCTCTTCAGCGACCAGCACCTCGACGGCCACCAGCTCTTCGGCGACCAGCTCCACAACGACCAGTTCTTCAGTGACCAGCTCCTCGGCGACCAGCACCGGCACAGCCACCAGTTCATCAGCGACCAGCACCGGCACAGCCACCAGCTCCTCGGCGACCAGCTCTTCGTCGACCAGCTCCTCGGCGACGAGCACCTCGGCGACAACCCCCTCGGCGACGAGCACCTCGACGGTCACCACCTCCTCGGCCACGAGCACCACGTCCCTGCACACCACGACCGCATCCTCCACCACCAGCATCACAACCACCGCGTCCTCTGCTACGTCTACGACGCTCAGCGTCACGAGCCGCACCTTCACCGCCACGGGCACCTCCGCCACCGAGACGTCCACGGCCTCGGCGGCGCCGGTGACGATCGCGGGCTCGCTCTTTTTCGCGGTGATCGAGGGAGAAAAATCGGCATAGACATAACCTTTGGAATGTTCGCGCGGATTTTTTTTGATCGGCGCTGGGCCCCCTCCGGCGGCGCCTGCGGCGCCGCCCAGCGCTGATCTGAGAAATCCGCGCGGCCCTCCGAGAGTTTCTGCTTACAGTTGGCACGAGGGTCAAGGACAACCCAGGGTCGGGAGGGGGTACCCTTTGTGCTTCGCCGTCCAGGCTCTCCACCCTGCAGTGCTCCTCGTCTTGGGCATCTCCGTGGGGCGTTGGGCCTTCGGTGCAAGGGCTCGTGCTCTTGGCCCACGCTCTTGTGGCCATTGCCTGGTCCTCCAGGTGAACGACGTCGCGGGCTTCCTGGCTGGCGCCGACGCCGCGTCGGGCACGGCGGCGGCGGTCGCGTCGGTCGCGGGCCTGCCCGCCAGCCTCGTGGGCGCGAGCCTGACCGCGGGGGGCGACCGGCGGCTCCCGTCGGGCGGCGGCGGGGCGACGCCGGCTGGGCCCCGTGCACTGGCCGCGGGGAGCGTCTTCGTGGACTACCTCATCACGCTGCCGGCATGCCGGGCGACGCCAACCTGTTTCGCTTGCCATGGGAAGCGGGTCCTGAGGGAAACGGGTCCTGAGGTTTTTCGCTGCTTTTTTGGCTCCCTCCACTGGCCCCGGGACTGTCAGAAAACGACTCAGGGTGAAGAAGTGGTCCTGGGGGCCTAGGGTCCAGTTGGCTTCCTGGCTCCCTCCACTGGCTCCGGGACTGTCAGAAAACGACTCAGGGTGAAGAAATGGTCCCGGGGGAAGGCCCTAGGGTCCAGGACCCGTTTCCATCGGGACCCGTCTCCCCCATGTTAACTCACCGGGCCCCGACCTCCTCGTGTCGTGGGAAGATCGCGGCGGCGTTTTTTTTCGTGGGGGCGGTGGGCCACTCTCGCTCGGCCTCTGGGGGCCCTCGCGGGACCCCGGGACCATCCAAGAACGACTCAGGATGAAAATCACCGAGCGCGTTCCACTACTCGCAAAGTGCCTACTCGCAACAGGTCCTAAGAACAAGCGCTTGCCTCGACATAATGTGTCGCAAATCCCCCTCGGCGGATCTGGATCATTTGCAAGTAGTTACTTCGCGAGTAGTGGAACGCGCTTGTCTAGAAAAGCTGGTCCCAGGGAACGGGTCGAGACCTCCAGGGATCGACGATGTGAGCAAAAAACATGGCGTCGGGCGCCTGGGCACGCTGCTCGTGGTCAGGCCCGTCCTGGACCCATGTGTGTGTGTGTGTGTGTGTGTTTCGGCCGCCGTGCCTGACTTGCTTCGCCCCGTCGCCGCGCGCGCCGCGACCGCTAAAAGTGTGTGTGTGTGTGTGTGTGTGTGTGTGTGTGTGTGTGTGTGTGTGTGTGTGTGTGTGTGTGTGTGTGTGTGTGTGTGTGTGTGTGTGTGTGTGTGTGTGTGTGTGTGTGTGTGTGTGTGTGTGTGTGTGTGTGTGTGTGTGTGTGTGTGTGTGCGTGTGCGTCTGTGTGTGTGTGTGTGTGTGTGAGTTTGTGTGTGTGTGTGTGCGTGTGTGTGAGTGTGCGTGTGCGTTTGCGTGTGCGTGTGCGTGTGTGTGTGTGTGTGTGTGTGTGTGTGTGTGTGTGCGTGTGCCTTCCGGGCCGAGCCAGGACGCGGCGTATACGCCGAATTTTCGGGCCCAGGGGTGGGCCTGGCCAGGGTCGGCGCACGTTCGGGCCACGTGAGACTCGGGCCTGCCGGACCCTGGGGCTCCCGCTGCTTTCGGACGGCCACGGCCTTCGTTGCAGCGGGGCCTCGCGCCAAATTTCAGGCCAGGCCCCGCCACCTTCCCCATGGCCCTGTCGGGCAAGTTCGAGCCCCTCCCCCCCATCCATGCTCGAGCCTTGCATCGTTCCGAAAGATATGCTACGTACGGCTGGCGTCCCCCCAGGCTGGGGGGCAAGCCGCCGCGGCCGACTCCGTGGTCGCAGCCCTCGACGCCCGGGCCGTAGCGGCGAGTGGGCGCCTCTCAGGTGCCCCTTCCTCCTCGCTCGTCTGTCTTGTCGGCGGGCCTCGTCGAGTCGACGGTCGGTCAACGAACGGCCGACCGAGCGCGGAGGAGGACCCAGCCCGGCCGCGCGCGAAGGGGGAGGGATTCGGGCTCGGGGGATCGAGGGCTAAGTTATTACCAGCCTTCTTCCATCCCTCTTCGGCCCTCCCCATTGCCACGGCCGGATCCGCCTCGAAGTCCTGGCCAGAGCGTGCGGGCAAGACGCTGAGAACTGAGGACTGCTTCGGGCTCGGTCGGGGGCCCTCTGCTGATCGGGGCGTTCCTCAGATCCACGAAATCGTCTGGGACGGTATCCTCAGAAATCTCCGGCAACTGACGGACAGAATCGGCTGAGGCAGATGCGGAGGCAAAGCTTTGCACCACCTGCGGCCCCGCCGTGCACTTGCAAAGCGGGGACAGCACGCCCTGGCCGCCATCTTCAAGTGTGGCGATTGACCTCTGGGCGAAAGTGGAGGCGCTGTCGTAGGTGCCGAGGCCCGACGCTGTCAGGGAGCTCGTTCGTGGCCGAGGCTCGACGTGGCCAGAAATGCCACGGAGCTCCTCCTCCAGAGTTCCTTTATGGCAGCACGATGGCGGTACGTCATAGGCAGGTCCGGGGGTCAATGTTCAGGAGGGAACAAAAAGACACGGACACAACGAATCGTCGATTCCCTTGAAAATATGGGAACATGTGGGAAGTGGGGGGGAAGACAAACCCCCAGGAAATGTTGGAAAATGTTGGGAATCCTGCTATTTGTGCTACTTATTTGTCTGTCCCAGGGCCCCTTCAAATGCGACAGGCACGGGAGCCCAGACGTCCGAAGCCGCGGCTTTTGCACTCCTGGCCTGCCCCATCGGCTCTCGGACTCTGGAGGCCCCCTCCGTGTCCCGGGGCGGGAGAGAGAGAGAGAGAGAGAGAGAGCACGACCCAGGGGAGCCCCGATGAAGAGGCGTTCCTCCCTGATGCGCTTGAGGCGCGGGCCGGCGCTCACGCGCTGATGTTAAGTCGGGCCTGTCCCTCTACAGGAGGAATCTTCAAACATAGTCAAAAAACAATATGGGGATTTTGTTTGAGTATTTTTTTGGTTGTTGATAATATTGGATTTTTTTACGTATCGTCGAAAATCCCCCTGTAGGGGGACACGCCTGACTTTACGCTGATGGGGGTGCGCCGCCCTAGATGATGCTGGAGCTGCTTGGAGGGCCTGCGTGGCGAGTCGTCTTGAGCTGTCGCGGGCGCTCGCAGGCCCCGGCCTGCGACGCCTGCGGGGTGCGCAGGGCGGGGTGCGCGGTCGCAGGTCTCGTCCTCTGCCAGTCCTTCTCTGCTCGGGCAGTGCGGCGGGGATCTCCCCATGCGACGCGGTCCCGCCAGCTCGCGCCTGGAGTGTCGGCGGGCCCCAGGTCGGCGACGGCGGCCACGCTGCGCGACTCCTGCGCAGGAGCCTGGGGCCGCCAGCGCTCCTCACGGATGTGTACATCCTCTGGGCGTGCCTCCTCCTTCCTCCTCCCTCCCCGCGGCGACCTCTCTTCCACGAGCCATTTGCCCAGGCGCAATCAGCGGGTGTGCAGCCTGCTTTGGCCCGACTGCGCCGAGCCCCCTCGCGCTGCGACCAAAGAGGTGGCGGGCCCCGGAGGCAGGCAGAACCTTGGCAGCCCGTTCGTTGCGCAGGGCTTCCATCCGTGCAGCTTCGCCGTGCGATGCAGCTGCCAGCCGCTCGTTCCACAGTCGCCCCTGGCGCTCATTCCTTGTCTCGTCTTTCGTGCTCCAGCCCATCACAGACCGCAGCGGTGCTGGCCCAGGCCTCGCTTGGCTCTGGGAGCTGGCCCATGCCTCGCTTGGCTCTCGATGGGTCCTCCTCGCCCCTCTCCTCACCCTTCTCTTCCCCCAGACCTCCTCTCGTCGTTAAGAAAATGGAAGGGTCTAGACTTAAGTCGGGCACGTCCCTCTACAGGAGGAAAATGCAAGAATAGTAACACATGTTTGTTTTTCTATGTTATTGTTTATGTTTCTTCCAAAACCCGCATGTAGGAGGACATGCCCGACCTAAGTCTAGACCTCTGGGGCCCACCTTGTGGATAGAGGGGGGCCCCGAGGTCGCGACAAAACTGGCGGTCCCCTGTCTCTCCTGCTCGCCCCTCTCTTCGCGCTCCTCATCCCCTCGCCTCCGTGACTCGAAAAAGGGACCGACTGCATACTGGATTTATTGCAAAATTGACTTACCCATCGAATCTTCGCAAAGTACGTAGCCTGGTCCGCAGATCCGCGGAAAATTTTACGCACTTCTCGTGGACTCGACGGGGAATCGGTGTTGGGGTGCAATTGATTCTGTAGTCGATCCCCTACTCGAGTGATGCGGGCATGATCGTGAAGTCCGCGATGTCTCCGCGACGCTTAGATCTGAGGTCGCCCTCCTCGCCGTGAGGGGGAGGGGCCCCGAAGGAAACGGGCCCTGGACCCTGGGGCTTTCCCCGAGACCAGCTCCTCTCAGGCGATCGCAAGCACGGATCAAGGGGGGCGTGGATTAGCGACGGGTCCCGTTTCCATGGGAAATCGCGGATTTCCGCCGCCGACCGCATTTTGGGGAGGGCACCTCACGCGATCCATGGATTTGGCGACCGCGCGCCAAATCCATGGATCGCTAATCCATGATTGCGCGCCCCCGATCCTCGTCCCCTGAGATCCAGGCGCTGCGACTTTTCACACGGGTCGTGTTTACGCCAGGTTGTCGTGCCTTGGGACCATCACGGATTGACAAACGTTTCGAACACTGCAGCAGAAAGATAGGGTCTGGGGCGCTGGTTGTGATCCTTGCGATGTTGTTTTTTTTGTCCGCATCCTCTGATCTCAGGGTCCCGAGTTGTTTTCTGACTGTCGCAGGGCCCAAGGAAGGACCCCAGGGGCAAAACAACTGAGAAAAAAACACCCCCTGAGATCCGAGGTTGCCAAGAAGTGGCAACATCGCGAGAAATTACGACCAGAGCCCTGGACCCCATCTTGCTGTTGCATTTTTCGAGGCCAGATCGATCGTGCTCAAACTGTGCCCCTGGCCTCCCGGCTACCACAACAACGGCTCCCGCCTGGTGGGTCCTCACAATGTATTCCAAAATCGCGCTCTCGCGCGGGACTTCCTCACAATGTATGGAGGAATCGCGCTCTCGCGTGGGACCTCCGCGCAATTTATTCAGACGCCGCGCCCTCGACACTCAGGAATTACGCTGTCGCTTTGGATGGTTTTGCGCTTAACTTGGGAATCGCGCTATCGTTCGAGACCTCCTCGCGTTTCTACCACGTGTTTTCTGCTCCTAACCCTCCTCCTGCAAATTTCTCTCGTGCTCCCTCCTTGTCCCTCCCCCTTGTCTCTCTTCACTCCTCCCCTCCTTTCGGCAGGTACGGAAGATATACCCGTAAGAGGGGGAACGATCGAAGACGAAGAGGGCGGCTACCGAGGGTTTGGGACATACGTGTTGAATGGCAAAAAAAACTTTAGCAGGTAAGAGCGAACAGTCTTAAAACAATTGTTGTTGTTGTTGTTGTTGTTGTTGTTGTTGTTGTGGTTATTGAATTTTTGTTTCAAGAATAAGTATGTCTGATCCCCCCTGCCCGGTGACCATTGTGTTTGTCAATTGCAGTGCTCCCCCGGGGCTCGCACCCTGTTTGTCACAAGGGAAGCGAAGTGTCACCAAAGTGTATCTTTGGCTCCCGATTTACAACAACAACAACAACAACGGCTCCCGCCGAATGCTTCTTCACAATTTATTCCAAATTTGCGCAATTCATGCCGGAATCGCGCTCTCGCGTGGGACCTCCGCGCAATTTATTCAGAAGCCGCGCCCTCGACACTCAGGATTCATGCCGTTTTTTTTGCGCTTTACTTGGGAATCGCGCTATCGTTCGAGACCTCCTCGCGTTTCATCCAGGACTAACGCTTCAGCAACTCGCCTGCTCGACCTGGCCGCATGGGCCCGCCTCCCCGACCCTCCCGTAAAGGTCTACCCGCCCGATTTGCTTGTCTGGTTCTGCCACGTTTTCTGCTCCTAGCCCCCCTCCTGCTGCTCTCTCTCGTGCTCCATCCTTCTCCCTCCCACTTGTCCCTTCCTTCCATCCGTCCTCTCTTCCGCTGCCTTAGGGGCTGCACTAAATGCACGTTGCAGGTAGGAAAGATATATCCCCAAGTGGCTACGATCGAAGACGAAGAGGGCAGGTATCGAGGGTCTGGCAGATACGTGTTGAATAGCGCGCGAACGGATCCGAGCAAACAGTCTTGAGATGAAGATGGTTGTTGTTGCTGCTACTGCTACTGCTACTGTTGCTGTTGCTGTTGCTGTTGCTGTTATTGTTGTTGTTGTTGTTGTTGTTGCTGTTGCTGTTGCTGTTGCTGTTATTGTTGTTGTTGCTGCTGCTGCTGCTGTTGTTGTTGTTGTTGTTACAGTTGTTGATGATGGTGTTGCTGCTGCTGCTTACACCCACGGCGCTCAATAAGAAAGTTGGTTTTTCGTTTCAGCCCCTGCGGATTTCTTATGCCGCGGCCATGTTCAGCGCGCCAGGGGCTGCCACTTTCTTGCAGGCCAAGTTTCTTAAATCGTAGGCGCCCTTCCAAAACCGCCGCGGAGGCTTTTTGATTCGCTTGTTGTCAGTGACAAGTGGGGCCCCGCATGCATCCCCAAAATCGAAATCAAATCGTTTCCATCGGTTTTGGCTCATTCGCAATTGCGTCGGACTTCAGGGCGTGCGCGGGCTCCCTTGGCAATTCGCGCCAATCTCTGGATTGCCTGCGTTGATTTTTGTTTAATTGCTATGGCGATTGGTTGCGCCGAGGCGCGCCCCAGGACGCCGCGCGGCGGCGTCGACCTTCGGCGCGCTGCGGTTTTTGCTTATTCGCGATTGCGCGCGGCTGCGCCAGCGCGCGCCCGAGGACGCCAGGCGGCGGCGCCGACCTCTGCTTTGCGTAATGCTTTTTGCTTATTTGCGATTACGAGTGTCTGCGCCGGGGCGTGCCCCAGGACGCCAGGCGGCGGCGCCGACCTCTGGCGCGCGCTGGTTTTTGCTCATTCACGATTGCGAGTGGCTGCTCCAGCGCGCGCCGCAGGGCGCCAGGCGGCGGCGCCGACCTCGGCGGCGGGCCGCGCGAGGAAGCCTGGCGGCCGCGCCCCCCCTGGCTCGCTGGCGCTGGTTTCTGATTATTTGCGATTGTGTTTGCCTCCCCCCTGGCCCCGTCCAAGGACGCCTGTCGGCCGCGCGCCTCCCCCTGGCTCGCTGGCGCTGGTTCCCGATTGTTTGCGATTATGTTTCGCCTTTCCAGGGCCCGCCCAAAGACGCCTGGCGGCCGCGACCCCCCTCGCTCGTTGGCGCTGGTTTTTGATTATTTGCGAGTGTGCTCGCCCCCCCCCCCCAGGCCCCGCCCAAGAACGCCTGGCGGCCGCGCGCCCCCCCTGGCTCGCTGGCGCTGGTTCCCGATTATTTGCGATTGTGTTTCGCCTTTCCAGTGCCCGCCCAAAGACGCCTGGCGGCCGCGACCCCGCTGGCTCGCTGGCGCTGGTCCCTGATTCTTTTCGATTGTGCTTGCCCCCCCAGGCCCTGTCCAAGGACGCCTGGCGGCCGCGCGCCCCCCCCTGGCTCGTTGGCGCCGGTGTCGGAATATGTGCGATTGTGCTTCGCCTTTCGAGAGCCCGCCCAAAGACGCCTGGCGGCCGCGCCACCCCCGGCTGGTTTCTGATAGTTTGCGATTGTGCTTGCCCCCCCAGGTCCCGCCCAAGGACGCCCGGCGGCCGCGCGGCCCCCCCTGGCTCGCTGGCGCTGGTTGCTGATTATTTGCGATTGTGTTTGCCTCCCCCCTGGCCCCGTCCAAGGACGCCTGTCGGCCGCGCGCCTCCCCCTGGCTCGCTGGCGCTGGTTCCCGATTGTTTGCGATTATGTTTCGCCTTTCCAGGGCCCGCCCAAAGACGCCTGGCGGCCGCGACCCTCCTGGCTCGCTGGCGTTGGTTTTAAACTATTTCCGATTGTGCGTGCCCCCCCAGGTCCCGCCCAAGGACGCCTGGCGGCCGCGCGCCCCCCCCTGGCTCGTTGGCGCTGGTTTCTGATTATTTGCGATTGTGGGCCCGCACAAGGAAGCCTGGCGGCCGCGACCCCCCTGACTCGCTGGCGCTGGTCTCTGATTATTTGCGACTGCTTGCCCCCCCAGGTCCCGCCCAAGGACGCCTGGCGGCCGCGCGCCTCCCCCTGGCTCGTCGGCGATGGTTCCTGATTATTTGCGATTGCGGGCCCGCGCAAGGAAGCCTGGCGGCCGCGACCCCCCTGGCTCGCTGGCGCTGGTTTCTGATTATTTGCGAGTGTGCTTGCCCCCCCCAGGTCCCGCCCAAGGACGCCCGGCGGCCGCGCGCCTCCCCCTGGCTCGTCGGCGCTGGTTTGTCGTTATTTGCGATTGTGGGCCCGCGCAAGGAAGCCTGGCGGCCGCGACCCCCCTGGCTCGCTGGCGCTGGTTTCTGATAATTTGCGATTGCGCTTGCTCCTGCCGAGGTCCCGCCCAAGGGCGCCTGGCGGCCGCGCGCGCCCCCCCCTCCCTGGCTCGTTGGCGCTGGTTTTTGATTATTTGCGATTGTGGGCCCGCGCGAGGAAGCCTGGCGGCCGCGACCCCCCTGGCTCGCTGGCGCTGGTTCCAGATAATTTGCGATTGTGATTGCCCCCCCCCCCCAGGCTCCGCCCAAGGACGCTTGGCGGCCGCGCCCCCCCGCCCCCTGGCTCGTTGGCGAGGTTTCTGATTATTTGCGATTGTGGGCCCGCGCAAGGAAGCCTGGCGGCCGCGACTCCCCTGGCTCGCTGGCGCTGGTGTCCGGTTATTTGCGAGTGTGCTTGCCCCCCCAGGTCCCGCCCAAGGACGCCTGGCGGCCACGCGCCCCCCTGGCTCGTTGGCGATGGTTTCTGATTATTTGCGATTGTGGGCCCGCGCAAGGGAGCCCGGCGGCCGCGACCCCCCTGGCTCGCTGGCGCTGGTGTCTGATTATTTGCGACTGCTTGCCCCCCCAGGTCCCGCCCAAGGATGCCTGGCGGCCGCGCGCCCCCCCCTGGCTCGTTGGCGCAGGTTTCTGATGATTTGAAATTGTAGGCCCGCCCAAGGACGCCTGGCGACCGCGACCCCCCTGGCTCGCTGGCGCTGGTCCCTGATTATTTGTGACTGTGCTTGCCCCCCCAGGTCTTAGCGCTGGTGTCTGGAAGCCTGGCGGCTGCGACCCCCCTGGCTCGCTGGCGCTGGTTTCTGATTATTTGCAATTGTGCTTGCCCCCCCCCAGGTCTCGCCCAAGACGCCTGGCGGCCGCGCGCCCCCCCCTGGCTCGTTGGCGCTGGTTTCTGATTATTTGCGATTGTGGGCCCGCACAAGGAAGCCTGGCGGCCGCGACCCCCTGGCTCGCTGGCGCTGGTGTCTGATTATTTGCGACTGCTTGCCCCCCCAGGTCCCGCCCAAGGATGCCTGGCGGCCGCGCGCCCCCCCCTGGCTCGTTGGCGCTGGTTTTGATTATTTGCGATTGTGGGCCCGCACAAGGAAGCCTGGCGGCCGCGACCCCCCTGGCTCGCTGGCGCTGGTTTCTGATTATTTGCGAGTGTGCTTGCGTCCCCAGGTCCCGCCCAAGGACGCCTGGCGGCCGCGCGCCCCCCCTGGCTCGTTGGTGCTGGTTTCGGATGTTTTGCGATTGTGGGCCCGCGCAAGGAAGCCTGGCGGCCGCGACCCCCCTGGCTCGCTGGCGCTGGTTTCCGATTATTTGCGAGTGTGCTTGCCCCCCCAGGTCCCGCCCAAGGACGCCTGGCGGCCGCGCGCCCCTCCCTGGCTCGTTAGCGCTGGTTTCTGATTATTTGCGATTGTGGGCCCGCGCAAGGAAGCCTGGCGGCCGCGACCCCCCTGGCTCGCTGGCGCTGGTGTCCGGTTATTTGCGAGTGTGCTTGCCCCCCCCAGGTCCCGGCGTTGAGAGCGCCGGCCGGCTAAGAAACTGCACCGGCATTTAGTCCCTACTTTCTTATTTTTGTGCGCTCCCCAGTTCAGCCCCAACAAATCTTATCTCATGGTTTTCTTAATATTGGCCGGGGGTGTATGTTTTTTTGTTTTGTTGTTTTTTGTTGTTGTTATTGTTATTGTTCTTGCTGCTGCTGCTGTTGTTTATGTTGTTGTGAATGTTGTTGTAGTTGTAGTTGTAGTTGAAACTGTAGTTGTTGTTGTTGTTGGTGTTGTTGTTGTTGTTGTTGTGGTTGTTGTTGTTGTTGTTGTTGTTGTTGTTGTTGTTGTTGTTGTTGTTGTTGTTGTTGTTGTTGTTTCAGGTCTAACGAACAAGGGTTGTTGACCTCCCCGGTGACCATCGCAGTTTTCTGCATTCATGTGCTTCTCGCAAGACTCGCACCCTGTGTTTTCATCCGGGGAAGTCTGGTCACCGAACTGCGCCCCTGGCCCCCAGTTTACAACAACAGCAACAACAGCAGCAGCAGCAGCAGCATCGACAACAACACCAACACCATCACCAACAACAGCAACAACACACCACAACAAACAAATAACACACACACCACATATCAACAACGCCAACAATACCAACATCATAAACAACATCAACAACAACACGAGCACCACCACCAATAACAATATCAACAGCAACAACAACAGCGACAACAACGGCTCCCGTCTGATTCTTCTTCACAGAGTATTCCAACATCGCGCTATCGCGCGGGACTTCCTCATAATTGGACTCTTTAGCGACCCGCCCGCTCGATTTGGCCGCATGGGCCCGCCCGCCCGACCTGCCCGTTAGGGTCCGCCCGCCCGACATGCCAGGCTGGTTCTGCCGCTTGTGCTGCTGCTCCTAGCCCTCCTCCTGCAAATTTCTCTCGTGCTTCATACTTGTCCCTCCCCCTTGTCTCTCTTCACTCCTCCCGTCCTTGCGGCTGGTAGGGGAGATATACCCGCAAGAGGGGGAATGATCGAAGACGAAAGGGCGGGTACCGAGGGTTTGGGATATACGGCTTGAGCGGCACGTGAGCAGATAAGAGCGAACAGTCTTAATACGATTGTGATTGTTATTGGTTTCGCTATTGTTGGCTTCTGGTGGCCCTCGCCGGTCCCCAGAACCGTCAAACAAACGACTCATGCGGCTGTTGCTGGTTGTCCTGGTTGCTTCCTACATGAAATGCTGGTCACGGGGGATGGGTCGAGACCTCTCGGGGTCGACTTTGTGAAAAAAAACGTGACGTCGGGGGTCCTGGGCCTGGGGTGTCGAAAACACAACAAGACCGACCGCCGTGATTTTTCGTTGCGTCGCACGGATCTGAGCGGGGTCCCCCGCCGTCCCGGTCATTTCCCCAGGACCGGATTCTCGTCCCGAGCCGTTTTGCTTGACGGACCTAGGAGCCCGAAGATGGCCCCTACGACGGCAGCGGAACACGTCCGTCCTCACTGACTTTCTCGAGCCGTCGCATGAGTGGGCCCTGCTCGCCCACCGGTGTTCCTGGTGGTTCTCTTCGAGGTCCCCGCAGGAACTCAAAAGCTCGGTATCGTTTAACCGATCCCCATCCCCATCCCCATCCCCTTCGAGACCCCCACCAAATTACCCCCCCCAGTTGGGGATACACACCTCGAAACCCGAAGGATACGGCCTGTATCCCCGTCTCGAGGGGTAACTCGGACAGTGGGGCCCAGGCCACGCCGCTGGGAATGGGGATCGGTTGAACGCTACTCAAAAGCCCTGGAAGAAGGGCCGGTGCCGTGTGGCCCGTCGCACCTGGTGCTGCCCCTGAGCGGCTCGCCCCCCCCCGGCGCGCCGCGGACCCCCCCCCTGGGCGCTGCCCCGCCCGCCCCAGCCGACCGAGGCCGCCACGGCTGGCCAGTGGGCGGCGGCGCTGGCGCGCCCCCGGGGGGGGGGCGCACGGGCAGGGCCTGCCTGTCGGGGGCCCCCAAGCGGGCGCACGTGCGCGGCGAGTCGTCCCATCTTGCTTTGTGGAAGTCGATGAATGGAGGGGAAGCGTGCTGCCCAAGAATTTCTAGATGTCTAAAACATGTGTCAAACATGTGATAAGCATGTAAAAACCATGCTTTAAACAGTTTCAGGACCTTTTTTTCCGACATTGTAAACACATTTTCAGTTCGATGATAGGATTGTTAGAGTGTCCATTGTCACGGCATCCACAAAGCTTGCCACGGGTCGTCCACGCGGTCGTCTGGCTCCGGGCGCCGTTGCAGGCGAGGGCCAGGGCGGTGCTCTTGCGGCTGTGTCTCCTCAGAAGCCCCCGACCTTCCGAGAAGCCGCCCTCGTCTTCGGACCCCTGTCTTCTCGGGGGCCCCCAAGCGGGGTGGTGACCACACCGTGCGGTGAGTCGGTGGGGAGTCGGGGTCACCGCACGGTTTTGGGGCTCGGGTCGTTCTCCGAGGGCTGGCTCGGGTCGACAGGGGTCTCCAGGGTGCCCAAGGCCGTGCTGCGACGGGCCGTGCGGTGAGGCCTTGGGGGATTTCGGGGTCACCGCACGGTCTGTCACCGCACCGTGTCGGGACTCCACAGCCTGGTGCCTGCGGGTGCTCGCCCAGCATCGGCGGCGACCGGGGGGGGGACGGGCGGGACTGCTGGTGCTCGCCCGACATCGGCGGCGAGCGTTTCGGGGGGAAGTGGGAAGGAGGAGGCCTTTTTTAGAAGGCGGCGGGACCTCTCAGAAGCCCCCGCGCCTTCCGAGAAGGCTTTTGTGTCATCGGGGAAGGCTTGGAAGACTTCTCGGAAGAGCCAGGGGACTCCTGAGCCTCTCATCTCAACCCTGGGCTCGCCGCCGACAACAGGATGCCAGACGAACTAGGGCCCAGGCTTCCCAGGTGAACATGTTTCACGCGTGTCATCGACTACGCGTAAGAGTGACCCTTCGCCAGAGTGACCTTTGGTGCGGGTACAGATGGGTCCCCCGATCGCCGAGCGCGCTGCGATGGCTTCGCCTTGCGCGCTTGTGGTTGGCCCCCCCGCGGCCCTCAAAAAGCCGCGCATCAAAGGTCACTCTTACCCAGGGTCGCTCTTGCTTGTAGCCGGTGTCAGCGAGCATGCAGCCCCGTTTCCCAAGGCAGCGGGCGCACGCAGGGCTTCGTGCCCGTGCAGAAGGGCGGAGCCGGCGCTCACCGTTGCGATTGTCGGGCGGTCGCCCGTAAGTTTGTGGAAGTCGGTTAATGGAGAGGAACCATGCTGCCAAATATCTTTCAGATGTCTAAAAGATGTTGCAATCATGCTTTAGATATATCAAGACATGTTTGGGACATGTTTAGAACATGTTTTGCAAACTCTCTTCATATATTTTATTCAATGATAGGGTGGTCAGAGTGTCCATGGTCATGGCATCCACAACCATACGTTCCTGGGCACCGCTTGTCCTGGCGGTTGCGCTTTTCTGTCGGGCGCTCCGTCTGCAGCTGCGATGCCCCGGTGGCCGCCCGCACGGCACAGGGCCCCGCTGGCGCATTGCTGCGGGGCCCGCGCGCGCTCCCGGATCCCAGTTCCAGGGCCGGTGTTCGCGCGCTCCCAGCGCTCCTGCTCCTCCCAGCGCTCCTGCTCCTGTTCCTCCTACTCCTCCTCCTCCTCCTCCTCCTCCTCCTCCTCCTCCTCTTCCCCCCTTCCCCCCGTCTTCCTCCTCCTCCTCCTCCTCCTCCTCCTCCTCCTCCTCCTCCTCCTCCTCCTCCCAGTGCGGGATTCGGGCCCCGGGTCCCGTGTCCCGGGTCCCGGGCCCTGCGCGCGCATAAGATGCGACGCGCAGATGCACGACACACGCGCTGTGGCACACGGGTCGTCCCTCGCGGCTGGAAGAGCCTACGTCTCGGTGTTCAGGCTGGCAGGCTCTTCTGAAAGTCTCAGTAGCAGCCGACACCGCGTGCGGCGTTCCCGGCTTGCCTGGCGGTGCGCCCGTGGCCGGCAGGCCATCCCAGAGGCCCATCAGCTATCCAGGCGGGCCCTCCACAGGCAGAGGATGGGGGCAGGATGGCAATGAGCCGGCCGTTTTTTTTTTTTTTTTTTTGTTTTGTTTTGTTTTGTTTGTTGTTTTTTTTGTTGTCGGGTCTCTGATGGTCTGTGTCTCCCTCCCTCCCTCCTCTTCTTCCTCCTCCTCCTGCTCCACTCATTTTGCAAGCTATGCTACCCATCGTCCTCCAGGCGTCCCCTACGTATCTAGCTGCCTATGTATCTATCTATCTATCTATTTATCCTTCCTCCTCCTCCTCCTTCTCCTCTTCCTCCTCCTCCCCTTCTCCCTCGTCCTCCTTTCCCTTAATGTTCCTTCCTCCTTTCCCCTCCTTCATTCCTCATTCCTCCTTCCTTCTGCCTCCTTCGTCCTCCTCCCACCTGCTCCTGCCGCCTCCTCCCTCCTCTGCCGCCCTTCCTCATCCCTGCTCGCTACTCCTCTCCTCCTCCTCCTCCTCCTTCTCCTCCTTCTCCTCCTCCTCCTCCTCCACCACCACCACCACCCACTCCTCCTCAACCTCCTCCTCCTGCTCCTGCTGCTGCTCCTCCTCCTTCTCCTTCTCCTCTTCAATTTCCCCTTAAACATTAACTCCTCCCTGTCGCCCCCCCAACGTGTCTGTAGGGCGGGCCGGGCGTTTCGCCTGAGACAACCTCGCCGTCTGTGATCCTCTGAACTTAGTAACAGGCTCACGGAATGAGGACGGCCCGTTTTCAACATGTATCTCTCGCGGCAGCGCTGCGCACGTTCGTCTTAGAACTCTGCAGCAGCTGGAAGGATGGACGGCGGTTGGTTTTCAAATTGTAGCCATCGCCTCGGAACCGCGCACACTCGTCTTAAAGCTCTGCATCAGCAGTGCCAAGGATTCATACGGTTGAAGTCCCAGGAACGGCGTTCTGGCACGATTTCGGCTTGTCAGGGCGGAGCAGTCACGTTGATTCGATGTTGAAATCGCAAGAGTTGTGTTCTGGCGCGATTTGAAATAGCCGCGACGCAACAGTCACGTTGGCTCGCGGCGCTGTAGTCCTAGAATTTGTGTTTTGGCACGACTGAGGATTCTCGGATGGTTCTCTGCAGCGGGGATGAAGAGGGAATTTGGAGGGAGGGACTACTGCAGCATCGTCAGTGCGCCAGGGATTTACACTGGTCCTCCTCCTCCTCCTCCTCCTCCTCTTCGCCGCGGGGAAGGGGCGGCAGGCCGATAGCTTTGGCGACGCCTTCTCCTTCTCGGACGTGGCCGCCTTCGTGCAGGACCCCGCCGGGCGGGGCGGGGCCTCTGCGCGCCCCGGGCGCCGCCCTGCGGGCCGAGCCGCCCAAGAAGAGAGCGGTCCCAGACCGCCGACGCACTGGCAAAACTCGGGGCGCTCCTCTGTGCACCGTCTGCGGCCTCGGGGGGCCCTCGCCAGGGAGGGTAAGGAGGAGGAGGAGGAGGAGGAGGAGGAGGAGGAGGAGGAGGAGGAGGAGGAGGAGGAGGAGGAGTAGGAGGAGTAGGATGAGGAGGAGGAGGAGGAGGAGGAGGAGGAGGAGGAGGAGGAGGAGGAGGAGGTGCTCTTGGAGAGTTTCTCGCCTCAGGATGCTTTCCGGCACCTGCGCCTCGCCGAGGGCGTTCCCAGGGGTGGCTCGAACGACCGTTGGAGGCTCCGAGTTAACAGCTCCGAGGAGGCACCTTTGATACTAAAACAAGCGCCCGCTGCAACACGTGCCTCGCTCGAGACATCTTCACGATCTGTTCTGAAAGCAGAGGGGTCCCAAGCCGCGAAACGAGCAAACTGCCTGCACCCCTGTGGCGGTCCCCCCTGTGGATACCAAAACACGCGCCTCGCTCGAGACATCTTCGCGATCTGCTCTGAAAGCAGAGGGGGGTCCCAATCCGCGAAACGAGCAAACCGCTTGCACCCCGTGGCGGCCCCCCCCTGTGGATGCTGAAACACGCGCCTCTCTCGAGACGTCTTCACGATCTGTTCTGAAAGCAAAGGAGCCCCAGCCTCGAAACGAACAAATCGCCTAAGGCTTTCCCGCAATCGAGCCGCGAACGGGCGAATGTAACACCCCCCTGGCGGCCCCCCTTTGGGATGCTACGACAAGCACCTCGCTCGGGACATCCTCACGATCTGTTCTGACAGCAGAGGAGTCCCAGCCACGAATGCAAGCAGACCGCCTCAGACGTCCCTTCAATCTGGCCGCGAACGGGAGATTGTAATACCCCGTGGCGCCCCCCCCCCCGTTGGGTGCTAAAACAGGCGCCTCGCTCGCAACATCCTCACGATCTGTTCTGAAAGCAAAGTCCCAGCCGTGAAACGAGCAAACCGCTTGAGACGGGCCAGTGCAACACCCCCTGGCAGCTCCCGTTTGGGGTGCCCCAAATCCACGCCTGCTTTGTCGCGGTGATCATGAGGCTTTCTAAAGAGAGGAGCTGGCGCTGCAAAACAAGCAAACCGCTCGAGACATCCCCACAGTCTGGGCCGCGACCTGGCCAATGTAAGACGCCCTTGCTTCCCCTTGGGATGTCCAAGTGCCACGCCTGCTTTGTCGCGGTGATCGTGGGGCTCTCAAAGGGGAGGGTTCTGGGGTGCACGAAACAAGCAAAACATCCCGGCAACGTGGGCGCGAACTGTCGAGCGTGACGCTCCCTGGCGGCTCCCCCCCCTGGGGTGCCCAAGTGCCAGGCTGGCTATCTCGGTGTGGCCGTCGGGCTCCCAAAAGGAGAGTCTGGGTGGCAGAAACAGGCAAACCGCCAGAGGCATCCCGACAACCGGGGCGCGACCGGGCGAGTCCAACACCCGCTGGCGGCTTCCCCCCAGGGGTGCCCAAGGCCCAAGGGCCACGCCTGCGGCGTCGCGGTGATCATACTGTGAGAGTGGGTGATAAAGCTGTGAGTGGCACGCGAGTGTGAGCCTGAGTATTGAAATGGCTCGCTATGAGTGGATCTGGGTGGAGGTGGTCTGTGCAGGTGTGAGTCTGCGTATGAGCAAGTCTGAGTATCAGTGGATCTGGGTGAGAGTGAGTCTGAGTGTCAGTGGATCTGTGTGCGAGTGAGTCACAGTGTGAGTGAGTCTGAGTATGAGTGATCTGGGTGTTGAGTGTGAGGGGAGGGAGGAGGGAGGCGGGAAGGAAGGGGGGAGGCAGAGGCGTCACACTAATAACAATGACCTTCATACTTACGTAGTGCACGGGGAGAAAATCGTCGGAGATCTGGGGCTGGTGTCTGCTCTTCGTCGGGATGGCGGCGCAGAAGCCAGCGGGAGAGACCCCGGCGGCGCGCCAGAGCGAGAGAGGCTCCCCGCCGGGGCAGGGCTGGTCGGAGGCCAAAGAGGGGCCCTCCCAGAGGTTGGGATGCAACTTTTGGGAGGTCGAATGCAGCATCGGCGCTGGTATATCCGTTGTCAAAAACCAGCCTACTCTGGCACAGTCTCGTCTGGTTCCGCTCAGGCTCCATGTGGGCCAATTTGGTTTGATTCTGGACGCCCGAGATGGGTACGGAAAAGATGGGCACAATGCCCAACAACAAATGCTGTCGCAAACCAACAGCGGCCGCTGTTGGGCAAGCGGCCTTGTGTCTCAAATGGACAGGCCGCGGCGGCGCGGACAGCGAGTTCTGTTCAAAATGAGCAGGAACTGCTGTTGGGCATTGTGCCCATTATTTCCGTACCTATTTCGTTCGTGCCAATTGATGGCCCATGATTGGGTCTTATCGGCCCCTAACCGTTCCGACGAAGACCTCCCGGAGGTTGGCCCTCCCAGAGGTGCCGGCACGTCTGGACCGAGGGCGTCGGGAGCGCCAGCGTGCGCGGAGGCGAGGGAGTGGCCCCGTCGGCGGGCTCCGGCGAGGGGCTGACGGAGGGCCGACGGAAGCCACAGGTTGGCCCTCCCAGATCAGGGGCAACGTTTGATCGGCGTCCCCCCCACATATTTGTACTATGTGTGCGTCGCCCCCCCCGGGGCGACGCGCGCACCGAGAAATCTCATAGTATATGTGCCGTGGCGGGCGCTTTCTGGCCGCACCGCTCGGGAAACGATGTATACTACAAGATGGGTGTACTATATGTTCGGGTCGGACGCGCGCCTCCAAGGAGGACATATAGTACTAGTACTGTATGTCTCTGTGCGTCCCATTTAAGGGGGGACTTCGGCTCAGAAAAGGATGCATCGACCCCGGTCGCCCACTCATCGCTGAGATGGGGCCTGATAGCCCACCCCTCCCAGGAGCGTGTGGATTTGCTCGCGCGGGCTTATCGCCGATCTCTCGGCGATGCAACTCCGATTCCAGGTGGGTCTCCCCCCCAGCCAGTTCCCCCGAACTTTTCCCGCAAAATGCTGGCCCTCGTAGAGGTGCCTGTATGTTTGGATTGAGGGTGCCCGAACGCCAGCTATGCTCCGACACCCAGCCCTGGCCAGGCCCACCAAGAGGCCTTGATGTCGAGAGGTTTTTGGCCGTTTTCGGCTTCTGGGGGCCCTCTTTGGCCCCCCGGAGTGTTACACAACGACGCGGGATGCAAAGCTGGTCCTGGGGATGGGGTCGATACATGCGGGGGTCTACGTGTCTACGGGAGTCCCGCTCATCGGTCTCCCATGTGCACAATTCGCTTCGCTGTGACCCAGCGCTTGCTACGACCGACTGGCGCGTTCGCCGAGTCCAAAAAAGACTTGCGAAACACAAATACTAAGTTGGATATCTGATGATGAAGGCTGATAGTTCTGGTAACGATGCTGAGGAGGACGAGCATTAGACGAAGGTCTTGGAGCGGGTCGGGGACAGGAAGGACGAGAAGTGTAGAAAGAGCAGTTCTGCACAACGTCGACGACAAGCCGTACATACTCACCGGACACACATCGACGTAATATTTGTTTGTATGATGGGCCAGACAGACCCTCTCGCTGACGACCCCTGTCAGACCGAAGGCGTGAGGAGTGGGAGTATGCAAGTTGCGAGTAGTGATGCCACGATGGTGGTCGAGCATGTGCATGTTTCCCAGAGTGGACCCTCTCAGTGTGGTGCGACCAATGCGGTCCAGGCTATGCCGTACAATCTATGCGGGGTGTTCCAGACAGTGCGTTGCTTTCGAGGGATCAAGAGCTTGGCATCTCTTCCTCGTCGCAAGGCGGCGGGAGGCCGTGGTGAGCTGGCGGAAGAAGAGCGGGGGCGTCCCCGAGCGCCGGCGACAGCTGGTGGAAGGTCAGAGAGAGCTAGCAGAACCAAAAAAGGAGCCAGTCATGTGGTGGAAGCAGTGTGGTGCAAGCTGTGTGGTGCAGCATGTGGTGCAAGCTATGTGGTGGAGGCTGTGTGGTGGAAGCTGCGTGGTGCAGCCAGCGCACGAGGAGCCCACGAGACGCTCACGAGGCGCCGCGGGCGGCCACTGGCGGCGACGCGGCGAAAACCCACAATCCCATGCCAGCGCACGGTGCGCCCTGTTGATGATGATGGTGATGATGATGAAGATGAAGATGAAGATGAAGATGATGATGATGATGATGATGATGATGATGATAATGATGATGATGATGATGATGATGATGATGATGATGATGATGATGATGATGATGATGATGATGATGCTGCTGCTGCTGATGATGATGATGATGATGATGAAGAAGATGATGATGATGATGATGATGATGATGATGAAGAAGAAGATGATGATGATGGTGCTGATGCTGCTGCTGCTGATGATGATGATGATGATGATGATGATGGTGATGATGGTGGGAGGTGGTGGTGGTGGTGGTGGTGGTGGTGATGATGCTGCTGCTGATGATGATGATGGTGGGAGGTGGTGGTGGTGGTGGTGGTGGTGGTGATGATGCTGCTGCTGATGATTATTCTGTGCTGGCGGTGGTGCTGATGATAACGCCGATGCTGACGATGAGGCTGATGGCGATGATGATCATGATGCTGCTGATGACGATGTTGATGATGCTGCCGATAACGATGGCGACGGCGACGCCGACGACGATGATGATGATGATGATGATGATGATGCTGCTGCTGATGATGATGATGATAATGATGATCATGTTGATGATACTGCAGATGACGACGATGATGCTGATGACGACGGAAATTGTGATGACGACCACGACAAGGAGGATGAGGATGATAATGATGATGATGATGCTGATGATGCTGATGGTGATAATGATTCTGATGACAATTATGGTGATGCTGCTGGTGCTGGTGATGATGATGATGATGACGATGATGCTAGTGGTGACGATTATGGTAATAATGATGACGGCGACGACGAGGATGAGGATGAGGATGATGATGATGATGCTTCTGATGATGATGATGGTAATGTTAATGATGATGATGATGATAATCGTGCTGATGATGCTGATGATGATGATGATGATGCTGATGCTGATGATGACGATGGTGATGACGATTATGATGCTGATGGTCTTGATGATGGTGATGATGGTGGTGTTGGTGATGCAGCAGATGCTGCTGATGGTAATGATGATGATGATGATGATGACGATGACGATGATGATGATGATGATGATGATGATGATGATGATGAAGATGATGATGATGATGATAGTATATTGCTGATGCTGATGAGGATGATGGTGATGATGCTGATGCTGCTGCTGATGATGATGATGATGATGATGGTGATGGTGATGGTGATGGTGATGATGATGATGATGGTAATGTTGATGTTGACAGTGACCGTGGTGGGTGATCGCGATGATCAAGGTGATGATGAAGCAACGTTCCAGGGGGACTGTGGGGACAAACAATTCTTATGCTGAGATAGGAGATGGTGACCATTAGGATGAGGAGACGGGAGCTCGAGAGGGATACGGTCGAGGATGTGCTAAGCAGTGGGTGGATCGACCAAGTGAGAATCCATTGTCTTGGGAGGTCGTGACCTTGACGGCGACGTCGACCTCTGCTTCGTCGACAACTGCGTCCAGGGAGGGTGCGTCCCTTTGGGATGAGAAGAAGACGTTGATGTCCCTGCTTCTGCTAATGATGATGGCAGTGTTGGTGGTGGTGATGCTGACAGCAATGACGGCGGTGACGATGACCAGGATATTGACGATGCCGAAGGTGAGCAGGAGGTGGGGAAGGAGACAGATGTGGAGGGGTGGGAGGGGGGTAACGTGGAACAGGGGTGAAGAAATGAACAGCGGGGTGAGGGTGGATGGTGATGATGATGCTGATGATGATGCTGATGATGATGCTGATTCTGCTGGTGGTGATGCTGGCGATGCTGCTACTGATGATGATGCCACTGATGATGATGCGGTTGAAGATGCTGATGATGATGATGATGATGATGATGATGATGATGATGATGATATTGCTGCTGCTGATGTTGATGATGTCGCTGACGGTAATGGTGATCATGCGGATGCTGTGGCCGATGACGATGATACTGTTGCTGCTGCTGATGATGATGATGATGATGATGATGATGATGATCATGATGCTGCTGCTGATGAGGATGATGCTGATCCTGACTAGGATGATGCTGAGAAGGAGCATGACGACGATGCTGATGCTGCTGATGAGGTTGTTGATGATGATGCTGGCGATTGCGATGCTGATGCTGATGATGATCGTGATGATGATGCTGATGATGTTGCTGATCCTGATGTTGCTGGTGATGATGATGATGCTGATGCTGATGCTGATGACGATGGTGGTGGTGGTGGTGATGATGCTGCTGCTGATGATGATGATGGTGGGAGGTGGTGGTGGTGGTGGTGGTGGTGGTGGTGATGATGCTGCTGCTGATGATTATTCTGTGCTGGCGGTGGTGCTGATGATAACGCCGATGCTGACGATGAGGCTGATGGCGATGATGATCATGATGCTGCTGATGACGATGTTGATGATGCTGCCGATAACGATGGCGACGGCGACGCCGACGACGATGATGATGATGATGATGATGATGATGATGATGATGATGATGATGATGATGATGATGATGATGGTGATGCTAATGATGATGATGATGCTGCTGCTGCTGGTGATGCTGTTTACGATGGTGATGATGATGGTTAGGAGGAGGGGTAGGAGAAGGAGGACGAGGATGAGGAGGAGGAGGAGGAGGAGGAGGAGGAGTACAGGAGTGGGAACGCAGAAGATTCTGAGACGGGGAGGGAGGACGCGGAGGAGAAGGGAGAGGAGGAGGAGGAGGAGGAGGAGGAGGAGGAGGAGGATCAGGAGGGAGGGGGAGGATGAGGAAGAGGAGGAGGAGGAGGAGGAGGACCAGTGTAAGCCCAAGGGTCATCAGCGATCTCGGAATACACCCTCCCTCCAAGCTCCCTCTTCATAGGCCCCTACAACGGCTCATTTCCACGGAGGGAGCTGCCTCGTTGGAAGACAACCGTTTGAAGACCCTGGAGCATACCAAAACATGGTTCTCGGGATTCCAGCGCCACGGGTCAACCTGACTGCTGCGTCATGACGATCCTGAATCGCGCAGATCGCCATTCCTGGGACTTCAACACCGCGAATCACCGTAATTGTCGACGCTCGTAGTATTGAATCTTTCCAGCAACACTATTCCTGATTCGTTGGTGGTGGAAACCCGTGAAGCTCTGACAGCTAGTAAAAAAACGAACGTGCGCGGCGCTGAGGCGAGAGCCACGTTTTGAAAACCACACGCCCTCAATCAGTGAAAACTCTTGCATGTTTTTTGTTAAACGAACGTGCGCGGCGCTACTGCGAGAGTCACATGTTGAAAGCGACCCGCCTTCAATCCGTGCAACTCTTGCACATTAAAAACCGAACGTGCGTGGCGCTATGGCGCGAGTCACATTGTGAAAGCGACCCGCCTACAATCCGTGAAAAACTTTTATTTTTTGCCAACGAATGTGCGCGACGCTAAGGCGAGAGCAACATTTCGTAAACGACCCACCCTCAACCCGTGAACCTTGTGCACATGGTGCAAACGAATGTGCGCGGCGCCAAGGCGAGAGCCTTATTTTGAAAACCACCCGCCCGCAATCCGTGAAGCTCTTGCAGATTTTAACAACGAATGTGCGCGGCGTAATGGCAAGAGCCACATTGTGAAAACCACCAGCCGTCAATACGTGACAAGTGTTGCACATGTTGAAAAGAGCGTGCGCGGCGCCAAGGCGAGAGCCACATTTTGAGAACGACCCGCCCTCCATCTGTGAGACTGTTGTCAATTTTTAAACTCCAGGACCACATATGGCAACTTGCCTCGGGATGCGACATGGAGAAATTAATGTTATGGAAAAAGGAATGGAGAGGAAGAGGGTGAGGAGGAGGAGGATGAGGAGGAGGAGGAGGAGGCGGGGCAGGCGGAAGGGGCTAATGAGGTGGAGGAGGAGGGCGATGAGGAGGAGAAGGCACGTAACGGGGGAAGAGGAACAGGTGAGAAGGATGACGAGCAGGAGAAGGAAGGATGAAGAGGGATGCGGCATGAGGATGGGATGAGCTCCTCTCTCCTCCTCTTGCACCCACTCCGCCTCCATTCTTCCCCCTTCTCAAACCCCCTCTCATCGTACCGCCAGGCGTGCCGTTAGGGTTGTCCAGGTGCTTCGATGGATGCTTCCGGATTTTTTGATCTGGGGGATCGAATGTTCCAGCAGTTCAGCGGGCGGAGGGCGGCTCGTTTTCCAAGCGTGGCTGTCGCGTGTGGTACCGTATTTGGAGACGTAGGCTCGAGGCGCTTTGTGCTCGGGGTTGCCGAGCGCGAAGCCAGCAGGGCCTGAAGGTGGTGACTGTTTTATGGTCGGCCTACCGCGGCCAAACAAAGAGAACACAATACCTTCAGCACCGTACACGTTCGTCCCAGCCGCTTCCAGCGGTTACACGGATTGAGGGCGGTCCGTTTTCAACATGAGGTTCTCGCTTCTCCGCCGCGGAGATCCGCTTTAACATTAAAACGCGTGTCCTCCGCTGTTCTGTTGGCACATGCTACTTTGTTTGCCGCTCTCGCTTTGACGTCGTCCGCATTCGTTTCACATGTTCGAAAGCTCTACGGATGGTGGGCGTTCCGTTTTCAGGATCTGGTTCTCGCCTTAGCACCGCGCGCATTCGCTCTACCCTTCCCCAGCAGCTACACGGAAGGAGGGTGGGCCCTCTTCGAGATGGGTTTCTCGCCCGAGAAGTCCTCACGACTTGCCGCTCGAGAGCCTGAACCTCTCCTCAGCTGCGCGGAGGGAGGGCGGCTTCTGTTCAAAGCCGAGCTCCCGCCATGATATTCCTTTACCTTTGACGACTCTCGGGTTTGAGCGCCAATGCGTGCGGGTGCCGATTCCCTTCCCTTTCAGAACCGCGTTCTTTTTCTGGCGCCGGCAATGTGCTGCTCAAGGTTTCTGTCTCGCTTGTTGCCCAAGGCGTCTCTGGCTCAAGGTGTCCCCCCAGGCTTGCGTTCAACTTCGGGCTCCCTGTGCCCCATGAGCCTTGTGATGGAGTGCTCGGGAGACCGTCTTGGCCTTCGGGGTATCCTGGGCACACCTTGGGCGAGGGCACCTTGGGCAACACCCCACAGTTAGGTCAGGTGGGCGCGGAGGCGACCCTGGCGCCGGCGGTCAAGGTTGAACGACGCCGCCAGTGGCCTGGTATTGCTGGCCACCAAGGTCAGGGGAGACTTGCGCAGGTGTCCGTACTTCTCTTTTCCCTCGCGTATCCACACAGCCTTCTGCGGGTGCCCTTGCCTCTGTGCCGCGCGGTCCGTGGAGCACCTGGCTGTGACCGGCTCGCTGCGCGCTTTTTCCTGAGTGTTTTTCTTCTGTGCCCCTCCTTATCAGGGTGAGGGGGCCGAACGGTCATTCCGTGTCCTTGGGTGCGTGGCTGAAATGTGGGTTCCGCGGTGCGGATTGTTGTTGCGTTGTTGTGTTGTTGTTATTGTTGCGTTGTTGTTGTTATTGCTGTTATTGTTGTTGTTGTTGTTGTTGTTGTTGTTGTTGTTGTTGTTGTTGTTGTTGTTGAATCTTAGTTACTAGACAGTTGCTCTTGTTGGCCACCGTACAGGCGCCCTGGTGTTCTCGCCTCGGCGCCGGCCGCATTTCCTTTGAAAATGAAGCTCACGCGGGACCGCCGAAACGCTCCCCCCGACAACAACAACAACGCTCCCGCTTGATGCTTCCTCCTGTTCTACTCGGGACCGGGGCCCCCGCTCGCCGCCGAAAGCAGGCTTTCCCAAAAAGCCGCGCGAACGGTCGATGCTTGGTTGTTTTTTACTCAGGACTGGCGCTCCCGCCTCAGCGCCGCAGACGGCACCCCCCTGCAAACAACAACGCTCCCGCTCTATACCTCCTCCGCTTCTGCTCAAGTTTCCCAACTGCGCTGAGGCTTCCTCCTTCCCTGTTGAACCTTCATCATTTTAGAACAATTCTTGTCGAACACCTTACATTCGCCCTGGCGCTCTCGCCTCGGCGCTGGCTGCATTTCCTTTGAAAACTAGGCTGACGCTCAAGCGTTTCGGGTTTGCGCCGAAACGCGCCCCCCAACAACAACCCTTCGGCTGGATACTTCCTCCTTTCTTGCTTAGCACTGGTGCCCGTGCTCGCCGCCGAATGCCAACATTCCAACAAAACCAGCGCCCCCGTTTGATAGTTCGTTGCGTTTTGGCTCAGGACCGGCGCTCCCGCCTCGGCGCCGCAGACAGCCCCCCCCTGTAAACAACGGCGCTCTTGCTCAATACAGCCTCTGCTCTTCTTCAAGATTTTCAGAGGCCCTGAGGCTCACGCTCAGGCGTTCCGGGGTTCCCAGGGGCTTCTGCGGCTGTCCCCCGTTGGGGCGCCCTGGCGCTCTCGCCTCGGCGCGCGGGACCCCGCGGCGGCGACACCGTCGTCGTCGTCGTCGTCGTCGTCGTCGTCGTCGTCGTCGTCGTCGTCGTCGTCGTCGTCGTCGTCGTGGTCTTCGTCTTCGTCGTCGTCGTCGTGCGTCTCCTCCTGCTCCACTTCCTCCTCCTCCTCCTCCT